CTAATGGCAAGCGTGCTGCCTAGCAGCCATGGCAGCGGCAGAGTGACTCGCTTCACCTTAAGTCCAGCACTCTGTTATTTGTTTCCACACTCTACATCAACGAGACACTCACACTGTTGCTATGGAGTTAGCGTTCAGGCAAGCAGACTTCACAGGCACGAGTGATGATTTTAATTAAACAGGTGTGTTGTTGTCACTGACGTGTCAAATTTCATTTTAGAAATCTTAAACACTTTGTAGTCATAACTTTGATAGATTACCCAGACTGTCATCTAATAGCTGTCAGATTAACAGAAAGCACCATTCACGAGCCTCATTCTCCTTTCGTGTTTGGGACCATTGTTTCTGCTTAAAGCAGGGGTGGCTAACTCCAGGCCTCGAGGGCCGGTGTCCTGCAGGTTTTAGTTGTGTCCTTGATAAAAACAGCTGATTTAAATGGCTAAACGACCTCCTTAACGTGTCTGGTAATGAACTAATCATTTGATTGTGAGTTGACCCAGGGTGATAGCTAAAACCTGCAGGACACCAGCCCTTGAGGTCTGGAGTTCCCCACCCCTGCTTTAGAGGGAATGGTCACTGCAAGTAAATGCGAAGCTGCTCCAATGGGAAGCTGTCTTGAGTAATTTCTGCCCTAATTGGACTCTTCCAAGATGATAGCTGCCCCATCTGTGGTCACGAGTGATGAGCATGTGACTGCATACATCATTACCTTCTTAGTCATCAAATCTCAACCAAATTAAACAGCTGTGGGAGATTTTTGGCCCCACACTTTTCTCCCCACAACCATCATCAAAACACCAAACGAGAGAAGATTGCTCATACAGGATTGAGGACCCAAAGATGAAAAAAACAACATATGAAAAAGTGAATGAACAAAACAAAAGGCAAGCCTTTATTTCAGCTGATAAAAAGTCCAAGTAACAAAGAGTACAAATGGATGATAACAGATACAGACACTGAGCAAAGGAACGCCAGGATTGCATTTACATGCACACTGAGGGCTAATGGGGACTGGATACAGCTGGGAGGAATGAGACACAGGTGCACACAATCAATACAATCACAGGGGAGGCAGTTCAGTTCAGTAAAGACCCTACAATAATACATACAGATAAACCCCAACAATCATATGACCCCCTATAAGCAAGCACTTTGGCGACGGTGGGAAGGAAAAACTCTCTTTTAACAGGACACAGAAGACAAACAACTGACAAAGTAAAACAGGAAGTAAGTAACGATAACTAAAAAGGAAAACTGACACGGAAATAACTTTAACATGGGGAAAGACTGAAGGAAAAACGTGAGGGATGTAATGAACTCTAATGGAAATAGTACCTGGAACTAGAACTAAAGACTAAAACTACAGAGGAAATACACAAAGACAAAAATATTTAATGATAAACACAATTTGAAATCCAAAAACTCAAAAGCCGAGGTCCGAGAACGAGGGCCACGACAGATGAGAGTGAGTGCACGTGCTGCAGGTACCTCTGCAGCCACGACTCTCGCCGCCGCTGGCGTGACCATTGTCCCAACTGCTCGTGTAGAGCACCGTTCACCTTAGAAGTTTCCAACTTTGACGTTTGATTTGAACCACTTTCTGATCATTTCAGTCCACAAAGTCGTGCTGCCCTTTACTTACTGTTGCTTTGCTTTTTAAAAGATACTCAAGGTTTATTTCCTTGCTTTGTGGCTGGTGTGTTAAATACCTCTGCCTGGCGTTCTTTTCATTTCACCCGGATCCAACTGTTACTGTCCCCCACCCTCATCGCCTAGCTTTTATGTGGGGACGTAACAGTGGGTCATTTCAACCTCAAACTTTTCATATTCGTGGCAGAGATTTGGGGGAGTGCAAGCTCCCAGCTCTAAAAGGAATTGTATATTACTTTGAAATTGCCTGAAAAGCACGACAGGATAAACATGACAACAGGCAAGAGGAAAAAATGTAAACGTTTGAGTTTGTGGTGACCTGTAAAAGAAAAACTTCACATTATTATACAGGATCTTAAATAAAACTGCTTTCCTATTAAATGATGAGAACTAATGAAAAGCTCTTGCACCTGGGTTGCGGCTGTAGATCACCATACTTGTGTGAAATCCTGATCTGTTTTTCATTCCTTATTCTTCACTTTTTTGTTTTCTTTCTGAAAATCTAGAAAAAAGATGCAGCACCCTTCCACTTATCCAAGTCTCACAATGCAGTGAGGAAATCAGGATCATCACAGTGACAGTCGCAGTTTTTCGAGGGTGGAGGTGGGTTTGGCGAGCAGCACGTTCATATAGCGGCGTATCGTGGCGAGCATGTGTTTGAGGTTTGGAGAGAGCCGGGTGCTGTGAAGTGGAACCTTTCAGTGCTGATGTTTTATAAAACACCTTGTTTACATGGAGGTTCAGCGGGTTCCTTGTGGGAGTGTGTGGTTCTGCATCACATCCGCACGTGTACTTATTACCTCTCGTGGGAAACTGAGCTTCGTGCTTCTCGGAAAAACAATTAGCTGTTTGGCTTTTATCCCCTGATGCTTCAGGAGAAATCGTTTTGATAGATTATTTCAGCATTTTGTCTTCAATTGTTTCATAATGAACTATTTCTGTTTTTCATTTGAGAAAGTTTGAATTCAGGCAGAAGTGTTGACTTCTTGTTCTTCTGCGTTTCCAGCCTGATTCCTGTCATAAGAGCTGTTTGTTGTTTCCCCTCACATACTCGCCTGGCATTTTCGTCTGGATTGAGTTGGAGCTCGCCGACACCGGCTTGTAATAGTAAATATTAAACACATCCAGCTGTCGCTGTAAGATGGCTGTCTGCTCTGCTGCTCTGCAGCCTCTGTAGCTTTTTACAGGCAGCTCTGCATTGTGTTCGACTTTAGAAGTCGTGGCAGTGGAACATAGTGCAGGCGAGGACTGGTGGCCACAGATATACTGTGGATACAAATAGGTCAACAAACAGGGGAACAGGCGCTTAGTATTCTACCCGCTCTTATTTCTTCTCTACAACATGAACATGAACGATTTTGCACTGAAATAACGCGTCATATAAGAGGAAGAGAAAACTACTCACCACGCTGGACTCTCATGTTTGTTCATTCTTTCACCTTTAGCCTGTCAGTGATGCAGAGGGCATCCCACTCTGTTCGAGCTGCTCTGTAAACATGGACAGTTAGACTTAGATGCTACACCTGTTACTGCTGTTCATTTTAACAACGCCTCATGACAGTCGCCATATTGGTCTGGTAGAGCTGGACCCCTTAATGCATTTAATTTTAAGGAGGCAGAAGTCTATACGCGAGTAGTTGACGAGACATTTAAATATTACTCCTCTTGCTAGTCTGTGCCAGAAATACTGCCTGGTTAAATGTAGTATTATTATGTTATTAATGTGCTAAGAGCTGGTACTTACAGTAGCGCCGGCCACTAAGATAGCAGATGGCAAAGTAAACAGATGACAGCCCTGCTAACCAGCGCTGTTCTGCAGCACTTTGATGGTGTATGTCAGCTTTAAGCTGTTGAGACATTTATCACTGAAAGTTATATGTGCCCACCATCGCGGCTACCTTCTAGTGTTGTCTTACTGGGATTACTGGGATCAGTGAGCAGACTCACACAGCCGTTGACTGGTTTCAAAGGTTTACTGAATAACGCAGGAATGAAGTGGGCCAATGGGAGCAGGGAGTGAGTGAGCGGATCAGGATCCAGGATGTGTACGGAGTATGGTAACACTTTGAGCTGATCACTCCCTGTAAAGTATTTCACATAACAGAGATGATTATATACATACGGAAGAGGATTAGGGCCACTGGAAAAGAATAAGAATTCTGACTTTAATTTCAGAATTCTGACTTTAATCTCAGAATTCTGAGAAAAAAGTCAGAATTCTTTTTCCCCAGTGGCCCTAATCCTCTTCCGTATATACAGGCTTGCTGTGGGATACTTTTGCATTTTCCAGTTTTAACACAAGCATCTGATGTCCTGTTGGATTTATTTAAACACTGGCTGAAATCATACTGTCAGGATTTCTGACCTCTGTTACCGTTACCCACACATCAATCCAAAACAGCCTGTTGGCTGTTATTATTCCAAAGCTGTTGCAAACCAGCCAATCACAAGTAGTTGAAACATTCTCGTGATTTTTTTATGTACTAATTTGTACATTTTCTCCATTATTATATTATCATCATATGCTGGAATGTAATGCAGTCTCTGGGATTCAAAACCAAACATGAATAAAATCTCATGAAAATACAGGACTGTGCTTTTTTACTTGACTCTTTGAAGCTAATCAGTAAAATATTTCTGATGTTTTGTGAGTTCTCGTCGCTTAGCACTTGATCTGTGCCTGATAGCTGTCCAACCTTCCCCTGTTATCGCCGAAATATGTAACGCATGTTAGCAGTGACTTCTGGTTTGTGTGGGTGGAGATGATGACAAGGATGACTCGACGCTTAAGGGGCGAGAAGGAGAGCTTCCTCGACTCTCGCCGGCACCCGAGTGCCGGTCACTCAGAGAGTCAGTGAGGAAGCCACAGAGAGGCGGTGGAATAACCCCTGCCACCTTTTAAGGCCAAACCCCCTCCTTTATGTTCTCTCTGTCTTTTCCTTGTGCTCACACACAGCTGATCCTCCGTTGTACTCACATTCTCAAGCTGAAAGATTGTGGTTAAACTCCCATCACCCTTTCTCTCTTCTTTGCTCTCCATCCCACTTGCTGTACCTTAAATATCCCCTGCTCTATTTTTACGATGCTCTCTCCTCTTTGCCCTCTCTTCGTCCTCCTACTGTTTTCCATTTCACTCTTCTCTCTGAGGTAGGGTACTCGTACGCAGTGCCTGGGAGGACACAGTTTGACAGTCGTCGCATGCTTGGTTTAAGTTTAAGTAACTCTCTGGAAGGGACCGAGTTTAAGCTTCTGCAGAGCATTGGAAACGTGTTCTGTGCACCATCCTCTGATAAAACCCACTGAGCGTTACTGTATGAAGTGTCCTGATCCTGGCTTTCTGTCTCTTGCAGCTCTGCACGAGTTCCCTACGGACCTGTTCACGAACAAAGAGAGGACAGAAGGAGCCGTGGCCTTGCATGTCCTGTGTGTAAGTTTGCCTTCACCAACACAGCTCTGCATCCGTTCCCCTGTATCCACGTTAGAGATTTTACTTACTCATCCAAAAATTCCCAGATGGTTTGTGCATCCAAAGCCTTCATTTTCATGAACACATGGAAACAAAATGTACATTGTTTTAGAAGACCCACTGAAAGGACTGCTCTACCAGTTGTCTAACCGATACTGCCTGAAAATGCTGAGGTTTAAAAAATTCAAGCTAAAAAGAAGAAAAACATCCATTTACATCTAAATTTGATTGAAAATATAAAGAACATCTCTCCTTTTCCACATTTCCACCAGCTCCTCAAACTGAGGCAGAAGTGCTAACCACTGGTGTAACTTTGCCATGCTAATAAACTAACTCAGGGTTAGTTCAAAGTCAGTCTCATATCAGCTGATGGCTTCTACACATCTGACTGCAAACTCTCATATAAGGCCCACAGTTTAAGCTGCTTTAGCCTGCTCACAGTTGCAGATGCACCTTTGCAAGCTGATTTGCAACCATCTCTGTCCCCGGTTCTCCTCCCAGAAAAGAGCCATGCCACCAAATATAAATCAAAGCAATTGGAAATATCTTTGGTGTTTGGATTACAGTATTCCAGACTGAGCTGCAGCTCAGTGCCAGCCGAGTCTTTTCCCATCCGGCAATTCAACAAGCAGACAGCCTTTGCAGTGGGACCCAGCAGAGGTCACCATGCGAGGCCCAAACTATGATGGGGCCTTTCTTTCATTGCTGTGGCGTGAGCGACAAAGCATGCAGAATGTTCGAGTACGTGATGATCCATGTTGCATTGTGCTGATGGTCTCTGAGGGGTTTCATCATAATGGAAGCTCCTGCAGCATCTCCGCAGGACTAAACAATGAAGCGTTTGCCGTGTCTCACTTTGCAGCCACCCTCTGAGCTGCTGCAGAATCTTTACTGGGATGCTTGGGTGTTTAGAAATCAGTGCAAAATAGCAGGTGAATATAAGCTCCATCTATTTTTTTAACCTTTAAAATAATGTTCAGTGTCCTTTCATAGCTGATGTCATTGTGCTTTTTTCTGTGTACAGCGGGAGGACAATCGTGCCCCGCAGCTGAGAATAAAACGCTGCTGTAACAGGCTGCCTTTAAAACAAAATAAGAAATGTTCAGACTGTGATTGTGTGTCTGAAGTATGACATGCAATTTATGCATTTGACTTACCCAAAGTGGGACAAAGTGGGTTTCCAGGAAGTTTTCGGATGGATTACTTTCCCGAGCCTGGGAATAGTAAATAGTCCTAACTCAAGGTGAGTTTACGAGGTTTTTCCAGACTTGGTCTCAACTTGGCCTTTCACCAAGCCTTGGATATCCTCTCAACATCCTACAGGAACCCGTCGAGCACTTAAACCCAGAAGTTTATTTGGATCTAGAAGAGTCTGTGAGCTGAGTATACAAAGATGCTCTTGTTTCCGTTTGCAACGTATTTGTAAAGACACGTGACAAAAAGTCCACATTTGCCCTGTTTGGCATTGACAACGAGTCCTTCAAAAAACAATTAGAGGCAAAAGTTTAGCTCTCCAAAGCTGGGCAGTCTCTTCTAATGTTGGCCTTAAACCAAGTGAGTCCGTTTTACAACCACAAATCCACTTCTCTCATTTGGTCACAAAACTCAGTCCAAGCTGTTTGCTATTTTTTTTTTCTTGGTTCAGTCTTTGACTTTATCATTATTAGTCTTTGAATTCATTACGTTCTGTTGAAAAAAGCAGCAGATCAACTCGAAACTTAAAATATATTAGAAAATGACTTTTATGAAAAGGAATCACAGCTAGAAGATGAGCCTGATGCCAAATTCTAGGTAAAAGGAGACCTTTTACCTTGCTCTGAGGAGCCACCGGTCACATGGCGATAAGACTCTTCAAAGTTTACCCAAAATGCATTTGTTGAGCTTTCTCCATTGAATGATCAGAGATCCAAGATGCCAGTGCTTGTTTCTGTTTCTCTACATCACGGGCATGAAAATGGCGCAGTTTATAGAGGTTATAGAGAAAAAGATTTGTTTCTAGATTGTTACACTTAGACTGGGTGTAAAATAGTCGTGGTTACAGTTTCGAAAAAGATTAAATATGTTTTTCAGCCCAGAAATTACAAGCTACACATGGATCTCTCCTGAAGTCACGAGTGATCATAGATGCTGGACAAACAATGCAAACTCAAAGGCCTTAAACTCGCCTTAGTCGTTGGCTGTGATTCACTTTGATATTTTCTTCAGTAGAAACTTTAAAAGCTCTGATTTTCCTGTGCTTGTGACTTTGTGAAACGCCCTGCGATCTCCTTCATTAACCATTTACCTGTTTAAAAATATGAAATATTGAGCATGAAGCTCAAATTGTGACATTTTGGAAAACATGCAGCTGCTCCTCTGTGCAGATACTCTCTGCACAGTGCTTGTAAATGCTGAAGTTAAATTTTATTCCAGGCCATCCTGCGACTCAGGTTGACCACAGAGGGATGCAGATTTAAACACTGCTGTCTTTTCCCTCACATTTCCGTGTGATGCAGCCATAAGTGAAGCTGAACTGGGAAAGCTATAATTGACCATGAGTATTTGTGGTTTTTAAAAATGGAAGCATGCTTTGTTCATGCTTCAGTTTAAAATTTTTTTTTGTTTTTTTTAATCGCAGTATCGTGCTCCCAACTTCTCTCCCAGCAGCTGTGCTGCTGACTCACTCTCCAGTCCCGCACAGCTCGTTAGCGCTGGGATCATCACTTCTCCGAAAAAACACAAACACAAGCTCGGACTGAAGGACTTCCTCGACTCAATTCACACGTGCACACATAGAAACAAGTGTGCAGTCAGCATACGTCTCTGTGGCTGAAGACGCTTTCTCCCACCCTCTATCTCAGCTCTAAATCTGTGCTAAACCCAGTTAGCAGGATTACATGTGACCTCTGACCTTTTGCTTTTGGCACTCAAACACATAACGTGCTCGCTCTCACCTGCTGTCAGAATCAGGAAGTTGAGTTTGTGGTTGCTCGGTGAAATGTGACTGATCTCCGGGCACGAAGAGCGTGATCACTCCCGCGTCGGTCTAACTGTAAAGGTTTTGTTATTGCAGTGTGTGAGAGCGTTTCTCCTTTGTTCACACATTAGCAGTCACTCTGTCATCACTACTGCTTTTGATCATCGCCACCTGTCTTTGATCTCCACCCCGTCTCCATTTCTTTGTGTGGGATCTATTATGTGATGCCAGAGAAGTTGATGTAACATCTAATATGACAGTTTTCAGTGTCACAGGCTGCCTTTTAATCCAGATCACTGATGTAACGTATGCTGCACGTGATCAACAAGAATTCATGTTCAGAGTTTTGGGTTTATTCTTTTTAAGATGATGTGATCTGTGTGTTTGTAATGGGATTTTTATGTTTAGGGTTTAATTTAAAGTTTTTCAGCTTTTTTTGTCAAATATTTTTTTCTGTGTTATTCAAACATGTTTTCATGTGTAAAGCTGGCAGTATTCAGTATTCGGTCTATTATGTACATTTCTTCTTATGGTGACTCTTCTTAAGGTATTTTTAATCTATTTGCAGACGATGAACTCGTATTTTATTGTTGCAATAATCTGAAACTTATTGTGGATACAGGTTTGATTTATTTTTATTAACTATTATTCATTATAAGCTGAGTTCTATTTTCAGTTCAATTCAGTTTTATTTATACAGCGCCAAATCACAACAACAGTCGCCTCAAGTCTCTTTATATTGTACAGTAGATCGTACAATAATACATACAGAGAAAAACCCAACAATCATATGACCCCCTGTGAGCAGCACTTTGGCGACAGTGGGAAGGAAAAACTCCCTTTTAACAGGAAGAAGAAACTTCCGGCAGAACCAGGCTCAGGGAGGGGCGGGGCCATCTGCTGTGATTGGTTGGCTATCCAGTCCATCTGCATAATACTTAAGTTCCCTTTGTAGATTTACTATGTTATAGATATAGATTATATATTATGCAGATTACTACTCACTGATTAAATCCATATGTTTGCACTTTAGTCTCTTTTGCAGTGACTAAGATATTGCTGGTACCATAAAGGAGAGACAAATAAATTATAGTTGAAAAGAGCAGAATAACCATAAAAACCTTTTAAAAAAACAATTAAAAGAATAATTTCTGATTTCCTCTTGGTTTTAGAATTAGGCTGAATTTAAGCATGTCTATAAATAACTATATTAGCTTTGGCTGACTACTATCGTTGAATAATGGGGGTTTCCCATAGCTGTTCATAGAGTGCACAGTGCATGTACGCAGTAAGAAAAATGTCTAACGGCCCAGTCTTTGCCCCCAGAGTCAAGCTGTTTGCATGTAATGTCTGCTCAGCTACACAGTAAAAGCTTAGAAGGAATCACAAATCCAGCGTCTTTACTAAGCATCAACCAGCTCGGTTACATTTACAAGGTCAGAGGTCATGTTTTGGTTGCAAACTTCCAGACCTGGAATTTTTTTTTTATGCCAGCATGCTTCAGGAGAGAAAACTAACTTCCCTGTTTTAAAAAGTTAAGCGTGTGGGCCTGCTGTATGTGTTTCCTGAATGTTTAATGTCCGATCTGTTAATGGACTCCACTGAATTGTCATGGGCCGAGATCTGTGACTTATTTTTAGGGTAATTTACATATAAATTTAAGCAGAAAGGTATTCTTTCTTGTACCATTCTGGAATTTGTTTGATGCAGAATAACAACATCTCTTGTTGCTGTCCAGTTTAAATAGATCAAATCACATAAAGCACAGTGTTTCTCCTTCACTGTAATCTTTAAGGCTCTTTCTGTCTCTTCACAGACCATATACATGTTTTGCGCTCTGGCCGTCGTCTGCGATGACTACTTCGTCCCCTCCCTGGAGAAGTTATGTGAGGTATTAATCAAGATTTTCAAAATATAGTCACTCAGCTGGGGAACTTATGTTGGAGAGTCAAGAAATTTAAAGAGTTACAGTTTCAGATGAACCACAGATACTGATATTCAGAGCTGGATGTTTATTGCTGGCGTATTTGCTTTGACAAACACATTTGAACTCTATTTCATTTTTATTAAGTGCTTTTCCCATCTCCCAGAAATAGGAACTCATCAGCACTGATACTGTCTTTGTCCTCGCAAAAGAAAGAAAGAAAGAAAGTTGTTTATGCCAGTTTTTATCCTGATAAGGAGTTTTCTTTCTCTGTTTTAAGACTTTAATGTACTTCGCCAGCATAAAAATAGCAGAATATCCGACTCACTCTTTGAATATGAATCGTCATGTTTGCCAAACAGGAATATTTTTCTGTTTTTTAGACTCTTTTTTGTAAAAACATGATTTCTTTTGCCAGTAGCAGAGACCCTTTTTTCTGTATTTGATTGAGAAATAAACAACCAGACTTTGTATTTACTCATTAGCCCAAATTAGTTACATTTATTTATTCTCCCAAAATGTTTCTAAAATCCTTCAGTCTCGTCTGGATTTTGAAACTGCACCTTTTTCCCTGTTGAAATTTTCTTAATCTTCCGATCTGTTCCTTCTCAGCGTCTCAATCTCAGCGAGGACGTCGCAGGTGCGACCTTTATGGCCGCTGGCAGCTCGGCTCCAGAGCTCTTCACATCCATCATAGGTACAACATTTCTACGCCCATCCCTCCATCAGTCTACATCCTCTGCTCTAACTCTGACAGCTGGAGCTGCAGTGCTGCTTTAGGCAGGCAGCAGCCATGGCTTTGAATGCTTTTATCCCAAGACACATGCAGTGAACATGGCTTTAAATATTCAAAATCACACTAATGGCATATACAGTGTTACTGGTGGGTGAAGGGTACTGTTAAATTTAGCTGCAATAAGTTATAAATATGTTATAAATATGTAAATGTGCCAAATGTGTTTAACATGCTTTATTTTGTTTAAGTTCAAGGTGACATATTCAGCTCATTTCCAGCTTTGTAGTTTTATTCTAAGACTCTACTAGAGTAGCTTTGCTTGATTCACAGTTTGAAATAATCCTTATTTATCTGTTATTGGGCCTTGGTGCAGTGTTCAGGTTAACCTTAGCTCCTCTGTTTTAAACCTGCTTTCTTCTAAATGGCTGACATCCTCTCTCTGTACAGATACAAATAGATAGAGCAGGAAAAACGTATGAATCCGAGTGTTTGTAGCACTGTGAAGCTTTGGCTTTTGGCTCAAAAGAATTAGAATTTGAAATGTATCATCGTCAGAGAATAAGGGAAAGTATAACAGGTCCACAGTGATGCTTTCTCTCTATCGTTAACATAAAGTGCAGCGCTGGGACACGCACCCCTCTGCTGGCACGTGTGTTTGAGTCAAGTGCTTTGACAGTTGTGTGACATCTGTTTGTCACCACTGCAGATGCTACTTCTGCTCTCTGTGGACCTCATCGTGTGTGTGTGTGTGTGTGTGTGTGTGTGTGTGTGTGTGTGTGTGTGGTGTGTGTGCGCGTGTGTGTGTGGTGTCGTGTGTGTGTGTCGTGTGTGTGTGGGTGTGTGTGGTGTGTGTGTGGGGTGTGTGTGTGTGGGGTGTGTGTGGGGTGTGTGTGTGTGCGTGTGTGTGTGTGTGTGTGTGTGCGCGTGTTGGCTCACTCTCCCTGCAGGAGTTTTTATCACCCGTGGCGACGTCGGCGTCGGGACCATCGTGGGCTCAGCCGTCTTCAACATCCTCTGCATCATCGGCGTGTGTGGCTTCTTTGCCGGCCAGGTATGATGTCATAGCAGCGTTACACTGGCTGAGCTCGCTGCTGACCCGGTGGCATTTTCACAGCGCGCAACCGGCGGCCTAATGTCACCTTTAAATACCGAGCAACCACAGAGTGGTAGAGGGTGAATTCATGTTTATGCGAGGAGTGCACGCTGTTCGTTTGAGCTTTAATGTCACAGATGTTAGCTGTGGCACGCTTAGCGGGGAGTTCATTTTTATACATATTCTGCATCATTTCAAAGTAAATATTAAAACGCTGTAATGTCAGGAGATAAACATGATGAAAACGAACAAATCAGGAATCACGCTTGTGTTTTATATTTGATTCTTTTCTGGAGCTTTTGTGCCTTGCTCAGACACATTTAAAACATCATGTCAGTGTGATTACAAGAGGCTGTTTGTATCTTTTTTCTGCTTTACCTCACTGGTTTTGTGTATTTTACATGAGATACAGAGATAGCATCACGTAGAGCAGCCTCTCTCTGATGCTATCTGACATGCCTGGGACATGGAAATGAGCAAAGTACAAGGATAAGCTCTCTGCTCTGAAAAATATATGCGCTGGACTCCAAACAGTGATGCAATCCCAGATTGTGGATTATGTAATCATACTTGGATAATGAGGGGGAAAGACAGGCACTGGGATGGAGCTCGGAGGGGGTTCGGAGGGGGCAGTGAAATCATCTTCGGTTCCACCCAGTGCACCTCGCCGCTGCTTACCTTTAGCTAGATGTTTGTAGCAGGTTCCTTCTACAAAGTCAAACCCAGTAAAAGCAAACATTTTGTTGGGATCCAACTTTACGATTCCACAGCTGGGAGTGGCACATTCAAGATGTGACCCCTGACCCTCCACTTATATATACAGTGAGCGCTGTGTGGGAGCGTGTTACAGCGTTAGTCACGGCATCGTGGGCCCCTGCGTTATATCTGATTACATAAAGTCGGTAAACACAGCGGCTCCTTTTCTATGTAGGATGCTAACCTGCAATTGCCTTTTTCAGTGGCTGTGATTCAAAAGGTTAACTTAAGACCTCCTGTGTTTACATCAGTATGGTAATGATGTCAGAAGGCTGAGTGTTTCTGTACGAGAGCAGAAACTGATGCGGGATACTTTCAGTGTGCTTATCTCTCAGTTTTCCTTTTTTTCCCTCACAGGCGGTGAAGCTGTCTCACTGGGCTCTACTCCGAGATTCGATTTATTACACGTTTTCTGTCACTGCCCTCATTGCGGTAAGAGCTTATACTGCAGAGTCACGTGTAGATGCACAGTTCACATGATCAAGTGTGGAGTAAGTGCAGGAAGAGGCACTCATGCAGTCACTTACTGAGCCAATTTACAGGGCAGGTCATAGTTAGCAGCTTTACAGTCACTACACATTTGCACTTTCTACCTCAGCAGTGCAGCTTTAAGTGTAGGTTTCTCTCCCACAATGCAATGCACAAAGGCAATGGAGTGGTAGGATGTATGCTTACTCAAGTACTGCATAGTTTCAAGTCAACTTTTGTGCAACTTTTTGTGGGGAATTATTGATCTTTTGACTCCATTGCATCTATTTGTTACTTTAAAGATTATACAAAACAATATTAGTTATTCGAAGTATGATGATATGTTGAAAACTAAATTAGCCTTACCTGAATGAACTACAGCAATGAAATAACACTTGCATGTTAATGTGGGAAACCAGTGGCTGACTTATGTTTCCTGTACAGTAGAATAAACTGGAGTGTCTCTCACGTTTAAAGGGAATGGGCCTCTTTGTTTCTTCCTGTCCAACATGTTTATATTAGCTAATCTGAACAATTTGCTGTTTAGATATTTTTATTTCTAACGAAAAAATAAACTGAGCAAAGAAACCAAAACAGGAGGAAAGTAGATGGGTGTCCTCAGGTGGGACGGTTTTCTTTTTAAAACAAAAAACAAGGCTTGGTCTGCTGTAACCGAGGAGGCGAATGTTGTTTCACCTGAGACACAGAATGTGGATCAAAGAAATAGAAAGAAAAGGTGCGACATGAGTGTTTCTGTCCAACAAGGAGCACCAACACAAAAAAGATGCTTAAACACCGCTGAGCTCTCAGACCAGGGCGAGAAACTCACAGCAGACATTGCATTTTTTAAGCTAATCTGTGATTACTATTACAATTACCTATGTTACCGAATTAATGTTGTTATACAGTTTTACTTTGCCATCTTTGAGTAGCATAGACGGTGCTGTTGGAGGCAGTTTCTCCAGGACTGATGTGGCTTCAGAGGCCATGCATCTAAAATGCATTTAGGCCACGTGATGTCTTAAGAGACCATAACTCTCCTACGACAGCTTTTCAGACCTGATGCAAATAAACCTTTATTAATCTAAGCAGAGGGAGGAGGGCATGATTGCTATTGAAATCAAGCTTACAGCCCGTAGAGGCTCCTTTGGGATTTTTGTAGGGATTTAAATGATCTCATCAAAAAACAAACAAACAAAAAATCTGTAAATAATGACAGACAAAAAAAACCCAAAAACAATTAATAGTAAGAAGAAGACAATAATAGATCGCAGTATTTCATTTAAACATGTTTGCATGTGTTCTGTTTGCATAAAATAATCATTATGCACACTTTACAAACTGCTTTGTGTGTCAACGCTGTGAAAGAGTCTTACTGGATGATATCCGTGACTACAGATTAGTTATTAAAAAGCTATTGATATTAAATTATACATTGGATTAGCCGATGGTTTCCAGCAACTGTGACTCTCCCGAAGGACTCTTTACCTGCATGCAACCAAAGCCTGCTCAGTGATTGGCCAATAAACAGAAACCAGAGAGACTGTGATGTCACACATCATGTCCCTTAGATGCAGGTTTGCATATTCATTTACAAATAACTGAACTGAGCTGTTCTGCACAGATGCAGAACCTTGCATAAAAAGCATGAAAACAAAATTCATATTTTTTAGTTATCGGTGCAGAAATGGTTTAACAACTGATATGTAACTAACATCAGTTACATAAAACTGTAACTGAGTAGCTGAAGCTGTAGAATAATAACGCCCTGCTCCACATCCTCATATTAATGATCCAATAACTTATTATTATACTTTTAAATAGTTCTAATTTTATATTTACAGGACATCTTTATAAAACTTCATAAAATCAGTCTAAGGGTTGTACATATTAAATGTTTACTGTTAATAAACCAGAGTACAGCTACTGCAAAGAACTTTTTTTCAGTGCTTTTCTATCCTTCATCAATTTTAGCCCCGTGGTGTATGACATTTCAACTTTTTACATATCTTTTAAATGTATTATATTTGTATTTGTCAGTGTCATATTCCATTTGTTTCTTTTGGCATTGTTTACTATTTTGGCTGTAACACAACAATCTTTAATTTGGACCCTTTTGTGGATTTGAGCTCTTAGCTGGGTCTGCCCCCTAGCGGCATAGATGTTGAACTGCAGGATTTAATTAAACTCCCACGTACTTCCTCCACCTAATGACCCCCTTGTGTCCTCTTTGTCTTTGCATCTTTAGTTCATCTACGATGAGCAGGTGTGCTGGTGCGTATTGACATTCACCATAAAACTCTAAATATATATGACTGAGCTTTTGAAATGGAAAGAGTGACTGTGAAACCTTTTGCTTGTGTTTGTGTGCAGGTGGGAATCTCTTGTCCTGATCCTGATGTATGCGGTCTACATCCTCATCATGAAGTGAGTGTCAGCTTCTGAGAGTTAAACAGCTGGTTGCAGTGATTTACTGAGTCTGTCATCGTTTGTTACTGCCAGGTTCAACGGCCGGGCCCATCGCTACTTCGACCGTCGAAAGAAAGGCTCGGTGAATCTGGCCAATGGGCTCACGGGAAGCACTGATCTGGAGGACGTCACATGTGACGCCACTGCAGTCCTGCTTAAAAAAGGTATCAGAGCCTCTTCTGCTTGTCCTCTAAAGTGTCTCAGTGGGTTGCAGTTGTTCATCTCTGCACACTGAAATTTGCATAAATATAAAAGCCGCAGGAGCACTTTCCTTCTATTTTGATTCTGCTCTGTGATAAGCAGGCAAAGGGTGAGGACAGTACCAAAGGACTACTTGTGCAGACTCTAAGATTTTGTATTCGGTGATTATGACCCTCTGTTTGAACACCGAGCTTCTTTCCATCCAGGAAACAAGCCAGCGTAAAGACGTTTGCAGAGAAGTTTGAATAAACTGGTAAACTGAATTCATTTGCCTTCTCCAACCAAATAAGCAACCCAGTAGCCTTCCCGGCGTGTCTCTTTAAGAGCTTGAGAGTTGCTTTGGATGCTAGGAATGTCAAAGAGTCAGCCGTTTTGTTTGCCGTCTGCAGCTTTCTCTCTGCCCTCAAAAATAAGTTACAGCTTGAGAACAACAGAAGAGAGGACTGCAAGATGCTGGCACAGCCTGCTCTGTCAGCTCGTTTTGCACCTGATACTCTGAATGCTGCCCCAGTGAGAAACAGTCGCCCTCCTCACTTGTTACTGGGCAAAACAGTTTCGAGGAAATGCTCACAAAATGTCTTCCTGGACAGTAATTTTCCCCCTTTTCCCACACAAATGAGCATGATTTTATATCGGCATGATTTTATAATAGCTATTGATTCATATTCATGTGCAGAACCTGCATTTTTTCCAGGTTAGGTTGGACCTGATCTGATCTTTGGTTTTGCGTTTATCTCGAGGCTCCTTAAGGATTTTGATGCCGTTCTCGTGGACGTATCTCTGCAGCTTTGCAATGACGTCAGGGACAGTGCCCTCGACAAACTGGTGGTGTTCCAACAGTAGAGGGATCACACTCCTCAGCTGTAGACATAGACCTGGCATAGACTTTCAGGGCACTGGTGAGGGAAGTCGAATCCTGCATTCAGAAGAAACAATGCTGTTTTCATCCTGGTGATGGAGTCGACCAGCTCTTTATTCTCTTGGAGATACTTGAGGGTGTGTGGGAGTTTCACCAACCAGCCTACATGTGCTTTATGGACTTGGAAAAGGAATTTGACCACCATACTTCCCAACATTCAGCCCCTGTACAAGAGAGCTTAATCTGCATTAGCAGCAATAAGTCAGGCTTGTTCCTGCCCTTTGTCCAAGATTCTCTTCATAACTTTTAAGACTTTTATGGGTTTGGTGGTCTCAGAATGTCATCTCTACTTTTTTGCCAATGATGTACTTCTGTTGGCTTTATTGAACTATGCCCCCTGGGCGAGGTGTTCCAGTCATTATAAACCATGAGGAAGCATTGGTGGAGACCCAGGAGACCATGGGGAGATTATGTTTCTCAGTTTAGGAATGTCTCATTATCTCCTAGAAGACTTGGAAAAGGGGGCTGCAGAGAGGGATGTCTGTGCATTTCTGCTTGGATGGTTGACCTGGACTTGGATAAGCCAGAGAAAATCAATGGATGGAGAGATATAATTAATTAATTAATTAATTTTTGAGGGGTTGGGTTGAGGCAATGATGCAACTTGCTGTCTGTGCAGATATGACTCCAGGCTTGTACTTCACTGTGCCTCCATACTGTGTGTTTTACAAACAACAGCTAAGATTTTCCAATCCAGCGAGATTTTATATTTAATGTTTTATCGGCTCAAACGTATTTTTCTGTTTTTTATTTTTTAGCGAACTTCCACTGCACGCCGTCTGTGCTGATGGTGGATGAGTTGCTGTCTGCCTACCCCCACCAGCTGTCTTTCTCTGAGGCCGGCATGAGGATCATGATCACCAGTCATTTCTCCCCGAGAACCCGGCTCACCATGGCCTCTCGGATGCTGATCAATGAGGTACTTACACACTGAACTATTCTTGGATGTGTGGTTTCAGATGCTCCTCACATACTTAGGAGAAATATAAATTTGTCAACTAAAGTTAGCCTGAAAAATTGGCCAAATCCAGAGTCTTAGCATAAATACAAACCAAATAATTGGGTCTGGGTTTAGCAGAAGATGAAATAAGACGTGGAATGAATGCTAATTGTCTTTTGGATATCTCAGACACCTGTCTGCTGCAGACTGAAGTTTCAGCTTAAATCCAAAGGAAACAACCACAGTTGGAAAGAATATTTATTTCTACCTCAGAGAAATATCTTCCTGTTTTGTATTTTATGCATAATGACAAAATAATTCACGAGAGCAATGCAAAGTGTCCAAATGATTTTTTTAATGTTCCAGAGACAAAGACTGATCAACACCACGGAGACTCGAGTCAATCGCATCACGAATGGTGACTCTGAGTCTACAGCCAGGGCGCAAGGGAGGCGGGGCCTAGAGAATGGGATGGGCGGAGTCGAGCAGGGTGTGAACGGGAGGTGCAGACTTCAGCGGCTGGAGAATGAGACGGAGAATGAAAATGAGGACAACGAGAACAATGAGAATGACGAGGAAGGAGAGGAAGAGGATGACAAAGAGGGCCCCCTGGTGCCCTTTAAAGTTCCAGGTACATGAGACGATCCGGCTCTCAGCAAATGTTCATTTTAGCATCGTGTAACGTTAAACCCTGACTACATCTTATTCATTCCAGCGGGTGTGTGTAACAAGCTCAAGTGGCTGATCATGTGGCCGTTGTCCCTGCTTCTGTTCTTCACGGTGCCCAACTGTGGCAAGCGCCGCTGGGAGAGGTGGTTCATGGTCTCCTTCTTCACAGCCACCATCTGGATCGCCGGCCTCTCGTACATCATGGTGTGGATGGTGAGTCCAGTCAGGCTCGCTCAACCACCTCCTGATCCTTTCCCTCTAAACATGGAGACAGTTTCTTTCAAGACTATTAAAACCGTGTTTTTAGAAACGTCTAAATGATTTCATCCTTTTGACTTATGTAATGCTGCAGTCACACTAGAGAAAACACTGGTTGGGAGACACACAGCTGTCATTATGGAAAACACACACATCCTTCGATTAAGTGCAGAAACAGAGGGAAACTCTCAGAATTGATTCATTTATCTTACCGCCCTGCGTAAGGAGGAATTCCCAGAGAGTCTGTCTCTTGAGACGATGTCTGTCTGTTCTCAGGTGACTGTGATTGGCTTTACTCTCGGCATCCCTGACGTCATCATGGGCATCACCTTCCTCGCAGCGGGCACCAGCGTCCCAGACTGCATGGCTAGTGTCATAGTGGCGCGGCAAGGTACGTTCACATAAGAAGTCCAGCGTCGCACAGCAGAGTTTTGCTTGTCGTAATCGCTTTGTCTCCCGACTGAACACAGACTTTGACAGTGTTTCTCTCCTCACCTCAGGTCTGGGAGACATGGCCATCTCCAACTCCATAGGCAGTAATGTGTTTGACATCCTGGTGGGTCTGGGTCTGCCCTGGGCGCTGCAAACGCTCTGCATCAAGACGGGCTCCATCGTGAGTGTTCCCTGCTCCGCTGGAGGAGCGTCTGCTGGAGCAGAAATGAGTTCATAAACAATGAGACTTTGTTTGTCACCAAACTGCATCACCGTGAACTGAGACGGTGTTATTTGTCTCATTACACTTTAAAATAAAACAAAAAAAACTGCATTTTAAGGTCATGTTGGATCATTGGTGAAAATGATGTGAAAATGCGCCTCTTTCTCTGTTTCTTCAGATCGAACTTAACAGCAGAGGACTCATATACTCCGTGGCTCTCCTACTGGCCTCAGTATTCTTCACAGTAAGTCACAGATTTCTGCAGCTAACATTTTTGAATGCACAGATTTGTGGAGCAATGATATGAAGGCGTCCCTGACAGCTTTAACTTGTGTTTCCCTGCCCTGGGGTAAAGACAGCGCACGGCTGACATGAGGTTTAAACAAGTTGCACACACTCCTATGTCAACCACAGGTTTGAAATTAGTATATTTAGACAAGAGGAAGAGCAAGTTCACTTGCAGCCACATAAAACACCTAGTTTGACGTATCGACAAACGCGGGAATTTCAGAAAACTGGAGCCAGTTCCAAAGAATGCCATAATTTGCAAATGTCATAAACCTATATTTTATTCACACCAAATATCTTGTAAGCCAAAAAGATGCTTTTCAAAAGCAAGCAGATGGTCAGAAATGAAGGGCGAATGAAGGCTGTCAGATGTATATAAGTATGCAAAGAAGTGCAAATACCTAAAACTGAAACATGACCTGAAGTAAACAGCTGGACTTGAGCTGGACGACTGTTCCTGGGAGGTCCGGACAAACCAATAAAGGCTTTGCATTGTAGCTCTTTTAAGTCAGGAATTGTTTCATAGTTGCATCCACTCTTCTTATCTTTGTGCGGTGTGTCTCTAATCGTGTCTTCTTCGTTCAGGTCCTCGGCGTCCATTTGAACAAGTGGACTCTGGACTGGCGACTGGGCTTGGCCTGCCTCATCTTGTACGCCATCTTTCTGTCCTTCTCCGTCCTCATCGAGTTCAACGTTTTCACTTTCGTCAACCTCCCCATGTGCCGAGACATCCACTGACCCTCCCGCCTTCTCCTCTTCTTCTTCTTCTTCTTCTACTAATTCTTCCTCTGGCTGATGGGGGAACCTCACCTGGCTTCCAGTTTCATGGCACCTCCAAACAAAGTCCTACCTATTACTTAATAGAAAAATAGAGTTCTGTATGATTTATATTTGGTGCAATACACACGAGTGGCGGACAGAAGGACGTCGGATGTTTTGGGGTTATTTTCTGGAGGTGCGAAGAGAAAGTGCCAGCGGCGGGATTGCTGCCAATCATGTATAATGAACCAAAACGTTGGCTGGAGTGAACTTAACTGTATTAACGCCGACAATTAGGCTACTGTTGGTGAACAAGCTGCTACTGTAACTGACTGACTGAGGCGAGAAAAGAGAGAAGTCAGCGATTTTTAGCTGGATTGTTTGTTACTCTTTCTACAAGTTTGGATATAAAGCACACGATTAAGTAATTTTTAAGCAAAAACTGGCTTTCTGTGTATATATTAGAAGTACTTCTATCAGCTTTTGTGTGGAATCCTCTTATGCACAACTGGATCGGTCTTGCAAAGCTGAAATATTCTGTGTTTTCCTTTAGGCTCAAAATGCTTCAACATGTCTCCTTCCAGCCCACACAGCATGCTGTAACAGCCACAGCTCTAGCTTTGCACTGTCACAGAGATATTTATCACATAAAGTCTGCTCTTGGCTGTTTTGTTTTGTTTGTCGTACCTGAGTAGATGTGGGCTTTAAATTTTCCCACACAATGAAAGGGATCTACCTGGAACTGACATCCAGCACCGTCACTTTATGGATTAGAGATTTATTTCTTTTAATATTCTATTGCAAAGCGTCTGCAGGTAAACATGTAACTACTGAAGTTAAACTTCCCTGTAGGCGGTAGACGTCTCGTACTTTATTGAAAAGTTAGCTTTTAGTCTCAGTCGAGTGTAACGTTATTTCTTAAAGCCAAAAGTATTTTTAGATTAGCCGAACTTGTAGATTTGGACGTAAGAGTCGAATGCACAGCGTGTTTGTGTGTGTGTGTGTGTGTGCGTGAGTGAGCGCGTGCCACAATCTGGAGCAGATGCAAAGCATGCCGAGGATGTAACTGGGAAGACGTAATCCTGATTTATTTATGAATTAATTTATTCGAAGATCACGTCTGACCTCCAGTTTCAGCCTTTTGGATCGTGTACAGTGATTTCAGTGGAAGCTGTGTACAATGTACTGTACCTAATATATAATCTAAGTACTGGAAACTGACTTGATGTTGTTTATATTTAAGAATAGAACTTTATAATTTATAAGTTTTGTATAGTTTGGAAATGTTGCATTTATATTAGTTTAAACACAGCGGATTTGGAGACAAAGGATGGAAATGTCAGCCTTTACAAACCTCTCACATGTTCTGATATGTCGCCCTCACGTGTTAAATTAGGGATGAGATGCAGATGTAACGGATTTCTTTTCAGGAAAAACACCAGACTTTGAACTTTCACAACAGTGCTTCAATTACTGTGCCGTCTCTTGTATTTGAGGCTCGTGGCTGTTCTTCTCTGCGTATTTGAGCACCACTGTTAGAACATTATGGTCACATTGTTTCAGCATGTGTTCAAAGAAAATGTGGACTTTTTATTTCAGTTCTTGAATCTGATCAATTCAAAGCGTCCTGCAGTCACAGGATGGCGCTGTAGAGCTGCGCTATGCCTTCAGCGAGGCTGCGCTTTGGGTGTGTGGGGGGATATTTTCAGGTAGGCTACGTAGTGACATATACTGTTCGGTTTTGCATGCCTCTTTCATAGTTCTGATTATTTTGTGTGTAATTTTAATGCAACATCTAAAAGGCACTGTCTTGATTATGCTGTACATATCAGGAGGAATATGCTATCATAAACGCAGGTGTTGGAATAACTTCTGATGAGCAGTTATATTTGAGATATATACAGTATTTAGGATGTAGGCCTACAGCACTTAGTTTCAGCTAATTCTTGTCATTTTATGCTCATGTCTGTTAACTTGTTTGTAAATCCTCATTTTTGTTGATGAGGAGCTCTGGGCAGGGACAGATGGACACCTTCACCTTGTTCCCAGTGATCTTCTTGCAATAAATTGATTTACATACACATAATGTTTTCAGATGCATTTATGAGTCATCGTGGAGTCATCTTTAAACAGGACCTGTGCAAAAAGTTTTCTAAGGAATCCAATGGAAAACTACACACAGCCTTACTGCTTCCATTGGAAACGAGAGGGTAGAATTGAGGTGTGTATTAACACAATGCCTCAAGCTTTGAGGGAACATGGCGACCAATTCATCCCAAAGTCAGGCCGTGCAATGCTCAAAGGAACTGCAAAAATCCAAGTGCTACATCTCAGGCTCTACAGGCCTCGGTTAGCATGTTAAACATTAAAGTAATCAGAAAAAGACTGAACAAGCATCGGCTGTTTGTAAGCGTTGCAGGAAAAAAACTCTCTAAAAAGAAGATGGCAGTACGGCCACAGTTCTGTAACAACGTCCTTCTGACAGACGTTTGGCTGTAATGCAAAGCATCACATCTGGGGAACTCCAAACACAGCATATCAGCACCTACACCTCGTACCAACGGTCAACGTGACGTGGAGGGGGGATGTTTCAGGTTTGTTTTGCTGCCACACGACCTGTTGTTGACCGTGAACTCTTCTGTATGCCAAAGTATTCTAGAGTCTGATCGACGGCTGAAGCTCAGCCCAGATTGTTACTTGAAAGAGGACAGTGATCCCAAGCACAGCAGCAAATCTCCAACAGATGTGCTGAAAAAGAATCAAAGTGTTGCAACGGCCCAGTCAAAGTCCAGACATCAACCCGACTGAAATGCTGTGGCGGGACCTCAAGAGAGCCGTGCATAAATGAATGCAAACAAACTGTCCCCCGCCTGTCCCGTTTGCTTCTTTTGCCATCAGAATTATTGTCTAAAGGCCAAGAAAGATGCCCAACGGATTTACTTTACCAAGTGGACCATCCCGGCCTTGTCGTATTGATCCATTTGATTGACCTTTGTTTTTATTGTTTATTTTATTTTATTTTCAGATGTTACATAAGGGACAATATAATAAACAACATCATCGCGATGATCTATGTGAATATAACAGTAAGTACTAAATATTGAATATTATTGTGCAGCACGTAGGATTGACAGCGCACAGTGTGCTTTGAGGTAGGAGCCAAAAAAGTTTGTGTCTGTGAGCACCTGTGTGTACACCTGTGAATGTGAGCGCGCTTGTATTCAAAAGGTTCCTTCATGTAATGATCTGCTAGAGGGTGTGGGGAGCCACAGCCCCGTCCTCCAGGGCATGAAGCAGGCATGGAGGAGATCCAGGCTCCAGACATCCAGAGACCCTCAGAGCACAAGAGACCAGGGAAGACCAATGGAGGGGCAGCCGTACCACTCTGCCGGAAAGAGCTGAGGAGAGTCCCAGATGAGGGCTCACTCAGCAGCCGTGGAGCAGAAGCCAGAGGGGGTTGCAGTGACGTGCCCGTGAGCTCCGCCGGCAGCCAGCTGTGCCAGAGTGGACCGAGCCCCAGGCCGAGAGGCCGAGGGCACCCCACCCCCTGAAGGGGCCCAACCGAGCCACAGGCGCCAGGCCCCGACAAGCAGCCACCGGGAGTGAGCCGGTGCATATCTGAGCGCATAGCTCCGGACACCAAGAACCACCAATTCATCGATGTCTGAGGGCATCAGCCACTGGCAGTCAGAGTGGTGGGGGGAGATAGGCCTCCATACCTTGGAGGGCCTGAGATGTCCCAAGTGAGGTGGCGTCTGATACCCGACCTGACATATAGACACAGACAAATGGCCACACACAGATACGAATATCCAGACAAGCAGACCACTCCCAACTCAGTGCAGGGAGGCCCCACATTCCAGACCCCAATCGGACGGCCAACTCCTCCTCCCAGCCCCCCACCCCCACCCCAACGGGCAACAGAGAACAGGGGTGTGTGAAGACTCCAAGCCTCCCTCCGCCCGCTCATATGTCAACACGTAGTGTTGATGCATGTGTGTTCTAAGGTGCATTTAAAAGGAGGGAGGGCATGGAGCTACCTGCCAGAGAGCAGCAGGTAAGCGCATAGCCCCTCCTGCTAGCCCTCAATGTCTACATGTATTTAAAATTGAGAGGTGGGCAACGACGCCAGAGGTGAGGTTTTATTCCCTGATGGTCTTCTGGATGCTGTGTGGCATGCCCACCCCCAAGGTCCTATATGTATGTGTTATGAGAGTGTGAGTAATGTGAATGTTTAAGTTGTGGGATAAAATTGAGGCACAGGTGGCCAGAAGGGGACAGGGGGGGAGATGCCTCCCCTGCACACCTGCACCCCAAGGCCCTGCATGTGTGGGTGATTGTGGTGGAGCGGGAAGAGGAAGGCAGCTGGAGATGGGGAGGGAAGGAAGGGAGGGGCAAGAGGCCCCTCTCTGGGGCCAGCTCCCCCCGCTGACCCCAGTAGGCACCCCCACACTCTGGGCAAAGGGGCCCAGGCCCATCCGGACCGGGGCCCACAGCAGCTGCACCGCCCGGCCCCACAGAGACCGGGGTAGCCCACCGTTTGGTTTTTTACACACTGTTTCTGCATTTGGTTTAGCTTTTGGTAAATAAAGAAGGACGTGATGTAATGTGACATTTTGAATGTATGTATATGTCCTGATATAAAAGATGTATTTTTACCATGACTGTAGATGGTACCTGGCTTTTAGGAGAGACTGAGAAGGTACAGACTCAGTTTTCTTCCCTGTAGAAAGCAGAAGACTTACTTGGAAAAATTCTCAAGTATTACTCATTGATGACTGCTTCAGACAGGGGCTGTTTGGTTTTTTTTTATGATGAATGGCCATGAGTTACATGAGTTTGATGGTAAATGGATTGGTACTTGTACAGCACTTTTAAGAACTCAAAATGATTTTTACTACAAGCCTCATTTAACAAATTGCACAAGTGTTTTTTCTATGAGTAAGCACTTTGAACATTCGCACACACTCACACAGTGTCGGGGGCGATTCAGTGCAGCGGCTTCCTCCGATTTATTTCAACACACAAACTGGAGGAGACGGGAATCAAACCACCGACCCACTCTACATCCTGAGCCACAGGCGTTTTGTTTTTCAGTTCATAACAGGGAAAAACCAAAGCAGTTCACTCCACCTTGAATTAAACAGAAGTTCCTGAGAAATTCACCAACATGCACGTGTTTAATATTTATCTGATTAGCTTTATCATCCAGTGCGACTCAGAGAGTGGGATGATATGGGAGTTACTGAATCGAGGCTTCGTGTTGGGAAAGATTCCGACAAACGTGACGTTTGCTTTGAGAGTGTTGATGGAGAAATACAGAGCAGGTCAGAAGGAGCCTCGCTGTGTCTTTGTGGAAGTAGATGATAGGATGCTGAGACAGGAAGTGTGATACTGCATGAGGAAGTCAGCAGTGGCAAAGAAGTATATGAGGGTGATGCCGGACATGTATGAGGGTAGCAAGACAGCGGTGAGGTGTGCAGTGGAGTGACAGATGGGTTGAAGGTGGGGGTGGGACTGCATCAGGGATCGCCCATTCTTGTTTGCAGTGATGATGGACAGGCTGACAGATGAGGTCAGGCAGGAATCTCTGTGGACTCTGATGTTCACAGATGTGGTCTGTAGAGAGAGTAGGGAGTAGGTGAGAGAGACCCTGGAGAGGTGGAGGTATGCTCTGCAGAGAAGAGGAATGAAAGTCAGTAGAAGCAAGACAGAATTCATGTATGTGAATGAGAGGAAGACAGTGAAGATGCAAGGAGCACTGAAGAGGATGAGTTTAAAGACCAGCCAAAGCAGTGCACAAGAGAGGTGAAGAAGAGTGCAGGCAGAGTGGAGTGGGTGAAGATAAGTGATTTTACACAGAAGGATAGCAGTAAGAGTGAAAGCAAAGGTTACAAGATGGGAGTGGGACCTGCTGTGATGTATGATTTGAAGACAGTGGTACTGATGAAAAACAAGAGGCCTAGTTGAAGATGTTCAGGTTTCACTGGGAGTGAGCAGGATGGACAGAATTAGAAGTACATCAGAGGGACACGACCAGCTGTGGGGTTTGGAGACAAACAGAGACAAAGCTGAAATGATTTGGACATGTGCAGAGGAGGGACAGTGGACATACTGGTCAAGAAGTGGAGCAGCACATGCAGAGGGTTGGTGTGGCGATGATGACGATCCAAACCAGTGCTGTAGGGAGAGAAAACAAACAGACAGGCCATCACTTCTCAGAAATCATTTTGTGTCTGTTCAACTGTTTGAATCCTCACTTTTACTTCAGCAGACTGTTAAATAAAAAAAACTTAAAGACGTAACTTAAAGACAGTGCGAGATGTGACGCAATGAATTCCTCAACGTTTAAAGGAAACTCAAGGTAAAATCATGTCTCAGCCAATCAGAAGGAAGCATCGTATTACCGCCCTCCTCCTCTCCCCCCTGTTCCTCCCCCTGTGTCTCCAACACCTCAGCTGTCTAACCCCGAAGTCTCCGTTAAAGGATGTAACCGACAGACACTGGGGGGGGGACCAGAAGCTCCTCGGTGCCACCGGACAAACCGAAACATCCCGGAGGGTTTTTATCATGGACAAAAGCAGCAGTAACACACCGACTTAGATCAACCACAGTAAGGTTAGTGGACGCAGTAGTTCTAAAACTTTCAGGAAACGCAGGACATGTTAAAATGTTTGCAGACACGGGTGACGGGAGTTTTCCTCTGTGCTGCAGAGGAACAGCGACACATGCGCTAAAGTCTGTTTATTCTGCGCACTTTGTTTACACGGGGCGCCTTTTCGCTTCCTTCTGCAGCGGCATCGCTAAAATAAGCTGATTTTATCACAGCAGAAGCATTTTGTAAAGTTCACATGAGGCTGAGCTGCTTTTCCATCATGAACTGAAAGCATAAAGCTGCTGGTAAAAGTAAACACATGTTCATGGCTGTAAATCAAACTGCGACTTCAAAGCTTTGGATTTTTCTTTCAAATATGATAAAACCCAGACGTAAAAGTTTTACTTTAGGCACTGTAGAAACCATCACACTCTTCTTTGTTGTAAAAAACACAAGTTCCCCTCAGGGTGCTTTACTTTTTGGACCTTTCCACTCTTTCTTCTATTCTGACCCTTTGATGCCCCTGTGAGGCCAAAACAAATTCTGAAATATAGTAAATCTCTTTGTCCCCAGTGCCAGGCTAGCAGGGTTTAAACGTCTCAATTTGATAATTAAAAAAAGCTTTCTGACCAAGGCCAGATGATTTAATGGGTGTTGTGGTAAGCGGCAAGTTTTAATACAAAGAATAATTTTATTTCTACGGCACTTTGGAAAACACAGAGCTAAAAAGAGCTTCACAGTGTAAATAAAAATTGGTTTAAAACAATTAACAGACGTGATAGGCTGAGGAAGGTTGTTCCAGGGTTTGGGGACTACACTACAAACTCAATGTGATCACCTCTGGTTTTAAAATCAGAGCGTGGGACAGTAATGAGACCATGATTGGCTGATTGAAGAGGTTGGTTGCAGCAATTGGGTCTTTATATGTTAATATGTGTATATATGTTATATATATATAATATATGTTAATAACAGGAATTTAAAGATTATTCTGAATTTCAGTGGGTGCCAGTGAAGAGATCCATAAATAAGTGGGATATGTGAGCACTGGCTAGTTTTCTTATCAGCCGTGTTGCTGCTCTCTGCACTAATGGGAGGCTATGGAGGACTGAGAGATACACGTGAAGAGAGAATTACAATAATCAAGG